GGTTGCGTCCCACATACAGCAACTAGAAGGATGTGCAGCTATGACATACAACTATCTACTGGGGCTTTGGGGGGAAATAAAACAAATAAATAAAATCTTAAAAAAAAATAAAATAAAATAATAATTAGTGGTTGAAAAAATACATAATTCCACTTCTATATTCAATGCTGATGTTTTACTTCTGCAAATGAGTTACCCCCACTCCCACAGCTTTTAGCAGATAAACCAGGAACAAGAGCGAGCCAACAGGACGAGATCTATGCTGTTCTCAGGAGCATAACGCTACCCCTACCAAAGCACACACATGGAGGAAGCAACTGAAGCGATATGAACCAATGATAAGGTCCTAAGTTTTCTAAAATTTTACGATTTCACTGCTGAAATGGTTTATGTTCATTCACAACTGAAAAAACTGAGGTCCAGGATTTATCAAATGAGATATAACTATTCAGTGATGGAGCCGTTTCCTTCTACAAATGTTCCACATTAGTGTCTAAAGGGTCACAAAATAAGACTTCATTTGTGGGAAAAAGTATGCTAACAAGCAGTGAAGAAAACAAATGCACCAAAAGTATTACAGTAAATTATTTATCAGTTCAATGGAAAAACGTTCAGCATCTCACAGACATATTGTTTTTTCTTTCCCCCACAACTACCTACCATAAAAACTATACTAGAGAGAAAAAGTGTGATGTTTTTTTTTTGGTGAGGAAGAGTGGCCCTGAACTAACATCTGTTGCCAATCTTCCTCTTTCTGCTTGAGGAAGACCATGACTGAGCTAATATCTGAGCCAGTCTTCCACCATTTTGTATGTGGGATGCCGCCACAGCATGGTTTGATGAGTGGTGTGTAGGTCCGCGCCCGAGACCCGAACCCACGAACCCCGCGCCGTTGAAGCGGAGCACGTGAACTTAACCACTATGCCACTGGGCTGGCCCCAAAAAAGTGTGATTTAAAATCTTTACAACAAGCTCAGTCTTGTACTGAAGATAGCCAGGATTTTAGATTTTAACTTCATTTTTCAAAAAAAGAAACCACCAAAATTTTTCCATGTAGCAAAAACAAAATAATACCCTACTTGACCCCTTGTCATTTCAAAATACACCATGCATTAAAATCATACAGTATCAAATTTTCTTCAGTGGGCATATACGCCTTTTATAATGAGGAACGAATTAAGTTATTTTTTAAAAATACTATGCTACGGATATTATAAAGAAAATGATTTATGAGGTACTATTATAAGTATAAAACAAGTTACAAAATGATATGTGCAGTATTATTTCCACTGGCTTAAAAATACACTGGAAAATAACTAGAGGAAATATTAAAATACTAATACTGGCTACATTAGATGAAGTGATGAAGTGACTTGCTAAGGTTTTATGGTCAATGAGCAGTAGAGCTGGAACATACTTTACAGTTCATTCTTTTCCACCCCAGCTTCTATAGAAGGGTGTAAACTGCTAAACTTTCAAGGGTCAGAACTATCACTGCTACTGATGAGTGCAGCCCACCGGGACAGAAATCACGGGAAGGGGGAAATCTCATAACTGAACGTAGCTGACAACTTCAATTAAAATAAGTTAGAGCCAACTCACAGTTTATAGAGTGCTACAATTTTTCTTAAACAATGAGAAATGTCCTTTAATTGGCTCTACTAGATACCATTCAATTCAACTAAAACTTACTGTGCTCACAGAGGACTGTGATGGGCCCAGACAGGTAGGCGTTCATTCACACAGACTTTAAAATTTTAGAGGGGGAAAGAGATCTGTACCAAAATTACTATAAAATGAGGCAGGCATGAGATGTGCTCAAATGATCTCTAAACCAAGTGCTACGGGAACACTCAGGAGGAAGATAAATGATTCATTCATCCCTCTTCCTATAGGAAAAGCTCTCTAAAGGCAGTGCTCTTTTCTTTGTTTTTTTTCCCCCACATACCATGGGTAAAGACAACTGCTTGTCTAGGTGGCATATCTGGAAAAATACGAAATCTGGACCCGGTAGACCTGAGACGATCACAGACCTATCTCTTAAGCTATATGACCCCAAGCAAATCTCTTCCTCATGCTGCCACCCAGGGAGCATTTGCTGCAGTGGCCACCACACTAGAAACTTCCAATGAAGCTTACAGTGAAGGATAGCAGGGAGTGTTCCTTTTCAGAAACATAATTTGCAGAGTCTGCAACTATGAATAAGAATACAGGAGCTTCAGTTTTTAAGATTTGCAAATATGCTCTATAAGACACAGATATCACAAGGAAAAATAACTACCTAGTACTAAAGCAAAACTTATGATAACTGTTGCCCTAACTTCATTAATTAAATATAAGAATGACTTTGCTATTCACATTCCAGTAAGTTTTTGCCAAAGTAAATGTCTGACTGTAAAAATGGAATGCTGTCATTTGTGCTAGTCAGAATTTAGCACTTGTCTGGTATTTTAATAAAATTTCACAGTCTTTATTATTATATAGACATATCTTGTTTTATTGCGCTTTGCTTTATTGCACTTCACAGATATTGCGTTTTTTACAACAACCTCCACTAGCAAAAAGATTACAGTAACTCGCTGAAGGCTCAGATGATGATTAGCATTTTTTAGTAATAAAGTATTTTTAAATTAAAGTATGCACATTGGTTTTTTAGACATAATGCTATTGCACACTTAACAGACCACAGTATAGTGTAAACATAACTTTTATATGCACTAGGAAACAAAAAAATTCATGTGACTCGCTTTATTGCAATATTCGCTTTACTGCAGTGGTCTGGAACCAAACTCGTGATATCTCCGAAATATGTCTATAATCAAAAACATCAAACAAAGGCTAAGGAAAACATAGAACTATTTTAAAACATAAAAATAAGGTGCTAGATTTCGTTGACAGAGCTATATGGCAAAGAAACCAGAAGGTGAAGGGTGAGGAAGAAATCAGGCCTGAAAACCATGGACATGTGCTGCAGTATAATTAATTCACAGTAAGATGATACTGGAAAGCTCAATCATTTTGTGCTTGAAAAATTAAGGATGAAATTAGAAAACTGAATAAAAATGAGATAAAGGAACAAATGTCTTATTTTAAACGGAGAGAAAAAAATAGCTGGGCTAGACTAGAGTTCAAATTTAACGTATAAAGTGAAAACAACACAGCCTAGTTAGGGAAAGAAAAGTCACGTTCAAATTGGTAAAATTGAGGGGCCGGCCCCGTGGCTTAGCGGTTAAGTGCGCACGCTCCGCTGCTGGCGGCCCGGGTTCGGATCCCGGGCGCGCACTGACGCACGGCTTCTCCGGCCATGCTGAGGCCGCGTCCCACACACAGCAACTAGAAGGATGTGCAATTATGACATACAACTATCTACTGGGGCTTTGGGGAGAAAAAAAAAGGGGGGGGGCAAATTGGTAAAGTTGAATAAATTCTTCCAAAGTAATTTGAAGAGTTCCTGTTCGTTTCTCTCCTATCTCACTTCCCAATACATTATCCCTTTTAAAATATTACTATTATCATAACAATTATGAGGAACCTAAGAATTTTGTTTCACTTCCTACAACTTAAAACCAAGGGAAAAAAATTTTTTTAGGAGAAAGAAAGTCTAATAATCCCCACATCAACTTGAGGGCACACACCCTTCTACTTCAATGAAATACAATCTTCTCTCTAGTTAATAAGGAATGCCACAAAGAGAGAAGGGAGGAGCTCAGAGAAATCAGATCCTAGCACAAACCTCCATGCTCATTACATGTGTAAAAAGGAAAACCTAAACTCACACAAATAGACTATTTCAATTTAATTTTATTATGAAAACAACAGGAAATGGCAGCAGGGTATTTGATAAGCTCAATTAGCAGAAGGATCAAATGAAGTGATGACATGCCATTATGACCTCAGGGGTTAAACATGCAATTTTCCATCTGGTGAAATCTAGATTTCCAACACAAATGCTGAAACCACCTGCTGTATGTTGTTAGGCATTATCTTGAGCAGTCCCTCAGCATTTTCCTTACAACAGGTATAACCTCAAATTTTTTTCTTATTTCACTCTGCAATATAATTTCTTCCCCATGAACAGAAATCAAAAATAAATTCCATATAATGGCTCACTCAGAAAAGGCAATAAAGCCATACTAAAGCATTCATTTACCGATCATCGCAGTAACAGTAAAAATACCATGATTATTTTTCTTCTAAGTCATGAACGATACTTTTCTTCTAAGTCACAAAGGATATTGTGCCACCATTTCCTACAGCACCTAAGAATCATTCCAATCAAGAATGTTCGCAATTACTGAAATGGATAATACAGGCATGTCTGATAAGAATCCCTTCACAAATGAAAATTCACCGTATTTTTAAACTTAATATGGTTCCTTGAGTGGGGCAATGATAAACACTTTTTAAAAATTTTACATAACAAGTGCAAGGAGCCCATTTGTGAGTGTTTAGACCTTTAGATACATGTGTTACTAAGAATCTTGTTATTAGGCTCCAAAGATTGTATTTTTTAACTCTGAATACTGAATTCTGTAAGCCAGTGGTTAGCCAATGCATGCACAGCTCTCATTGTGATTAGAAGTGATGAGGTTTGTGTCCTATGATGTTTACACACATGCCCACAAGCATGCACGTGCACGCGCACACACTCACACCCCACTGTAAGTTAACTACAGACACAGGTTTGGATACCTAGTCTTGAGATTTCATATTGGACAGCATAACAATGAATACTCACCACTGTCTGCTTTAACACCTATCTTCCAGGCTGTACCAGTTTTTTCTGGTAAAATTAACTTTTTGCCACCTGCACCTCCTCCCTAACCAAGTTCACCAAGCTCCCCATGTTGATCCAGTCACTTCTTCAAGGGTTTGGTAGCTATATGGGGTTTCTCTTTCATTAAAACTTATCCCCCAGGTTATTTCATTTTCTTCGTCCTGGGTAAGTAGGTGTTTCAGAAACGGGAGCATGTAAAATTCGCAAGTAACTCAAAACTTACTTGGCTTTCTGAATCCACACACAGTAGTCTGAGATGTAGAGATCGTTCAGAATGTAAGCTGGGTCATTTTCCTGAAAAATTTTGTGAATATCCAGTAGACACTTCAAAACTGCACTTTTACCTGAAGGAAATGTAAAAAAATCAAATCATTCTTAAGAAAAAACATCTGATTTTTTTTAACTGAGAAATTCAGTTACTGAGAGGTAATATATTTATAGCAGTTCAGAGTCTTAATCCTTGTTTTTAATATTCCTTTATTCCATGAAATTTCATCTGTACTATATGGTTCAAACCTTTCTTTCTTTCCTTCCTTAAAAATTATGAATAATCCTTATACTCTATTTCTATAGCTGATTAATTGTCGTTACCATAAAAACATGATGAAACACAACTAGGTACATTAAATAAAAGAGAGGGAAGTTTTCCTAACTAAACGAATATTTAAATGCATCATAACTTTAATTAGATAATGTTTTCTAACTCAAGCTTTCAAAATACCAGGGAAAATCATGTTTTAGTTTTCAAATCTCTTTATTGCTTATGTCAACATTTGTTGTCAAGGAATTACCTAATACTAACTTAAATTTTTGCACCTTAAAGAATTGAAGAAAACTAAAATATCATAGCACTACTTCAAAAATATGCCAACAAAATCACTTGGAAAAAAGCCATCAGGTACTAAAGTCTTGTTCAATTTAATTACTTCCTCCTGGTTGTTAAACGAATCTAATTTTAATCCCAACCAAAGCCTACAAAAGGAATCTTTCACAACTCAACAACAATTCCCTAGGTGTTCCAAACTTCACATTCCCTAAAATTTATTACCTATAAGGCAAATTACTAAATCTATGGTAATACCACCTCCTTTGATCTATAAAATACAGCTTTTTCAGTTTAATTGTTTTATTCTTATTTTAAAGTCCTGAAACACGAAAATACTGTATACTGATTTCATGAAGATACTAGATATGCTCTCACTGCCATTTCCCACTTGACTTTTAGATATGATCAAAGAATCATGAGCTGGATAATGACATCTCAAGATGCCCAAATTGCTGCCACTAAATTTTTAACACAATTAACACTAGAAAGTAAGCTTCAAAAGAGCAGGGACTTCTGTTCTATTTAGTGGTTAATCCCCGATACCTAGAACAGAAACTTGCAGCAGCGGATTTTCAATTTAAGTATTTTAAGAATGTATAAATGAAGGACACAGTAAACACCCACTTAAACTCTTGCAATTTTCTCATCCCATAGCCTCACACACCAAGCCCTGATGATTTGTCCTTGGAAATACCCATTGTAGCTGCCCTCTCTGCACCACTCCCTGACCACTGATCCTCACTCACACCCTCATCACTAGATTATAACATCCCTTTCTTCCTCATCCCTCAGATTCCAGACTCTCTCCTCGAGCCCTCTGACACACATTTTTTACGCATGGCTTTCATCAAGTCCCCTCCCAGCACACGCTTTCAAGGGTCTATGGACTTGTCCATGGTCTTTTGCACAACTAGTTCCCCACACCTGGAGTGCCTTTTTTTCTCCCCTTGACCTAGTGGAATCTGAGCCTGCCTTCAAGGCCTAGCTCAAGTCTTCATCCTTCAGGAAGCCTGGGCTGACCTCCCTAGTCATCAGAGCTCTTGACTAAACCCCACAAAGTAAAGAAGTAGAAAGGAAACTCAGCTGATCCTCCCCATAACCTCTTCTGCTCATTTCACAGAAGGAGAAACTGAGGCTCAAGGATAGTAAGATACTCATAGTGCCACTGAGTTAAGGGCCCAGAAACCAAATTCTGATCTTACCGGCTCCAGAAGCTATCAGCTGTGCTATGCTACCCATATGTTCTTCGCCCGTTTAGTCTATAGCACATTTTTATTATTCAAGAGTTAAGTAGGTAATAAGTTCAAAGCAGGGGCCATGCCTTTTTCAAAATATTTATGCGGCTTCCTCATATGCAGATGGGAAGAATGCCAACAAAAGCTCCACTGCTCGATTGGTTAAGAAAACTAAATACTTAAAAGACCTAAAACTACATTTGGTTTAGTTGAGGTCAAAGCTGTGACTTATCAAAGTGGCCTAGGCTAACTACAGCAAATGATCAGCGTGGATCCCCCACCGCAGGCCTATTTTAACTATAAATTACAGCAGGTAACGTTGAAGGCAGAGTTTGATGACAAGAGGAGGAAACATACTCCAAACTCACAGAAGTGATGAAACCAAGTTAGCCACGTTATCCAAATAGAAGAAAATCATGGGAGGACTAACTAAACTGTAAGAATTTTTTGAACAGTTTTAATTGCCACAGAGAAGAAAATGTCAGGGTAAGCATATGCCAATTTCTTACTTTCTCTTTTGGGGAGTAGGGTGCAATATGAGGGAAAGAGTTAAGTTTAACGATAATTATCAACTTAAATTTTTAAAAGTCAACCATAGGTCTTATCAAAAAAACAAACTATTCACTTCAAACGTGTATAAGCTCCTCTAGAGAGTGACATCCCAGAACACTGCCTCTCAAGATCATGAACCATACTAACATAAGCAGGTTAACAGAAGATGCAGGATTTGGAGCCCAGCCTCACGGCAAATAATTCAGTGAGTGAAGAAAAAGGGTAGGTATGCCAGCTTGGAACAGTGTGAAAAAAGAGTAGAGGTGAGACTTAAAATGGGGTGGATCTGGGCAAGAACAGGGAAAGACCATTTGGCTGGAGCAGATGGTTCAAGTAGGGAAATGGGGAGTAAACAGGTGAGTTTGACAGAAGTCTGCGTCAAGGAGGAGGAGATGAATGCAACCAGACAGGACTGAGGCGAGCAGGCCTAAACGCAGGTGTGGGTGGTAGGGATAAAAGACCCACTCCAGAGACTTTTATGAAGAAGGGTATGAAATTACGGTCATATATTTCATGAGAATCCAAAGCAACCATTACCTAATGAAAGTATATAGCTTCATGAAGCAGACAGGCCTAAAATAAGGCTGCCCCTTGCTAAAGGCCACAGGCAAATTCAAATCTTCCAGTTATCACAAAAGAATAATAAAAGCAACGTCAAAAATAATCAATTCTTCAAAAATTTAAAGACAAGTTACATTGTACTTGCATGTTTCAATCCCTATTTTTTTAAAAAAAATAAAAAACAAATACACACGGGAAAAAACCCTTAAACACAAATATACCCAAATGGTATTAATGGTATTCGTCTCTACATTCATTGAACAAATACGTGAGTGCCTGCTGTGTGCCCGGCACTGTTTTACATGCGGGATTATAGGTGTTTATTCTTCTTTGCACTTTCCCCTATTTTCAAAACTCTCCACAATCAACATTTAACAAAAAATTAGACCTCCTCGACTACATGGCCAACCCTTGAAATATTGACAAAGAATGTTAACATTCTTAAATTCATGTTTACATTTTCTTTAAATTGTATTTTTGAACAACTGAGAATCAATATTTAGATCAGGGAACTTTAGAAAACCACATGCCAGGCAGTTTTGAAAGGGAAACTTATGCGCTCTTCAAAAGCTGTGTTTTCATTATGTCTTATTCAAACAATTTTCACAGTATGCTATGTAACAAATATGGTAAAAGAGAACTGAGCTACTGGCAGTTGACAATCTAGAACAAAAAGTACATTAAAACCATCCTCCCCTCAACAATGTGTATTGTTACCCAAGGTGTTACTTGATCTCTTTTGTTCCCACTAAATCACCATAGACGATTACAGCATCAGAGCCAAGAGACTCAGGAAGCACTAAGCTTTGTTTTAAGTCTGTTTTCTCCTGACTGCTGTTTCTCTCAGGCTGTCAACCACTTATCTAACAGCTATCAGCCAAGGAAAAAGCTGGCCCTCTTCCGGCTGTCACAGGGCCAGTGGCCAGAAGCCTTTGGGGACTCAAAGTACCTGGCTCCTGTGGGGCTTTATCTAGTAGTGGGCTCGTCGCACATCACGTGGGCATAAAAAAACTGCTCAGGCCTAAATCCAAGGGAATTATTTCTGCTCAAAGGCACTGCAGGAAGGTGACCATTTTCAGCCAGTTCACTGCCTGGTCCAAAGCAGGAAAAAGAAGGTACCTTGCACAGTAACCACGGTCACTATTTTCATTGCAGCAATGCACTAACAGGCCTCTCCAGGATGTTACACCCCCAAAGAGTTAGGGATTCTCCATGATGCACTTGGTCCTCACTTAAGCCAACTCAAGCTGTGGAAAAAAGGCTTCTGGGACCAAGATCTCTTGTTCACTCACAAAGGCAGTTTAAAACTAGTATCCTGGTATTGTAAATGACAAGTGCCATGAATGTTTTACCTCAGGGAAAATGACTGTGTAATGACAACACAGAAACACAATGACAACATAAAATAAATAAAGATAACAGTAACAAGCAGGTCGGCAGTAAATAGTATTTAACACGTTCTCTGGCTACTCATTCTCCAGCTTTCCTTTAAAGGGAAGGTAAACTAAGAACCATGTGCTTTCCTGTTCTGGACAGATGTGGCATTTCAGGTTAATACATCTTTAAAAAGAGACAAGATTGAGCTGTTCTAAATTAGAATCCATTGGCTATCTGAAATCTTCCTATTAGCAGACCAGGTTTGGCAATAATCTCTCACTGACAGACTAGCTCATGGTCGGAGGCACTTAAGAAATGGCTCCCATCTCTAGGAGATCATCGGGATAGTGGATGTTTTTGCTGGCTAAAAGCCAGCATAGGAAAAATAATATAAATTGCTAACTCTATATAGTAAGAGCTAAATTTCTTTTCAACAACTGGTACATTACAGCTGCTATAAGGCTGTGGTTTTCTGGGTATCTAGTTCTGCCCTTTAAAGTTCTGAGCTACACAAGACAAGAAGCCAAAAAGAATAAAGCAAAAAGAGGATGTTTATTCAAAATACCTGAAGAAAAGCAGTGCTTAGTCTTTATTTGTAAAACCGTTCCAAAATAAAAGCCAACAGTGCTATCATCTTAAAATGCATAACTTAGTGGGTATCTACCTAGAATTCAGGGATTCTGATAAGACCATATTATCAGAAGGGATAACATGAATTATTTTTAACATTAATTTTCATAGACCATTTGACCATAAAAAGAGATGACAGAAGAACTGTGTCAAATTAATCAAA